TAGTACTACTGTGTCTAACAACTAGTTTGATTATAGTTACATTCACCAAGGGAGGAAACGCCATTAAAGGAGAAGGAAGGGTATAAAGGGCAAAGGAGTTCATGAGTATAGGTTTTAAAATGTTGAGTTTAGGATGCACATGGTACATCAAGGTAGAACTATCTAGTAGAAAGCCAGAAATATAAATGTACTTCTGAGGCTTTTTGAAATACTGATATATTTCTTTTACCTAAAACACCTATATAAAGGGGACATCTTGAAAGAACATTAAACTCTAATGGGAAATTCTCTCTTCTGAAAAATATCCTCTGATCAACCATGTAGTGAATTGCAAGCACTCTTCCTTGGTGATCCAAGAGTAGTCTGTGCAGCTATAATACCAGGATGTCATTAGCTGCTTGCTTGGCTGACTTCAGTTAAGTCATGAGTTCCACTTCATAGAGCTGTACATAGCAGACCTGAGAGTAACAGTTTTGATGATGTCACATCACTCCCCTAATACTAATTTCTCCAATGAGTTCCCACTGCCTAAGAATCAGCTCCAAATGCTTTAGCATGGTATCCAAAGCCCTACATAATTTTGTGTTCACATATCTGCCTCAACAGTCTCACTCTGAGGTCTCTAAACCCTTGAATAAACTCTCTGCTGAGGCAAACCAGTTATGTACATTTCTGCAGGGTCTGAAAATTGATTTTGTCATGCCCTAGAATTACTCCAACTCAGGGATGATGACTGGCACTAACAAAGCTCACGAGAGACTAATGTCTAAAATCAGAATGCCAATGAAATAATTTACATTGAGAAATTTAATTGCTGAGCCGAACTGATGTTCATGTTTCCCTGACCAGTTCATTCCTCCCAGTAGGAAAACTACATGAAAAACCTAATTATCAAAAGGTTGCTTGATGAGTGTGGAGTCAGAAGGCGAATTACATGAATAGAATGTCTAATGGCACTCAGCTGTGCTAGCCAGTGGTCAAGAGAACAGGATCCTTACATAGGATCCTCACATCAATTTGACTTGGTGCCCTCATCTGGAGAGTTCTTGGATGAACAGAGTTATTTGACCATCATTTGTACTTTCCTTTATATATGTTAATACATTGAACAAATTTATCATTAAGGCTTATTGGACTGGAAACCTTACAGGTTTCATTGTGGTGACTATCTACATCTCTGCTTTAATTGCGTGTTAATTTCTAGCTTAACCCATAGAAAGCAGTGCTATTTTCTAAATTCCTAAGTTTGGAGAAAGTGTCCCCCATAAACTGGTAGTCTTCCTTGCTTTGTGGCCCCGTCCAGGAGTCAGCTTCTCTGACCCCAGCCTCAGAGAGCCCTTCCTCCCCTGAAATCCTACAGCAGCCTTTGCTGGGGACCACACATTTGGTGCACAGCCCATGCTACTTGTGCTTGCTCTTTAGCTTTTCATATGCTTGTGTGGTCTTCCCTTGGAGGACAGAGGTGCACATTCAATATTTGTGTGAGTAATTAATGATGAGGTCTAGCTTTTCATTTGTTCTCAGTTACATTTTTTTCTCTGTAACCCCTGGTTACAGCACCTATTCCCTGGGTGGCTTTCTTTTTGTAAAAAGTATGGCTATTATTATTATTTTTTTTGAGACAGAGTCTTTCTCTGTTGCCCAGGCTGGGGTGCAGTGGCACATTCTCAGCTCACTGCAACCTCTAGCTCCTCGGTTCAAGAGTTTCTCCTGCCTCAGCTTCCTGAGTAGGTAAGATTAGAGGTGTGCACCACCACACCTCGCTAATTTTAGTATTTTTAATGGAGGTGGGGTTTCGCCATGTTGGCTAGGCTGGTTTCAAACTCCTGGCCTCAACTGATCTGCCCACCTTAGCCTCCCAAAGTGGTGGGTTTACAGGTGTGAGCCACCATGCCCAGCCAGAATATTATTTCTTTCATAGCTATGCTTGAAAATATCAGCATTCTTTAAAATTGCATCCTTTTTTCAGAAGGGTTTTTCTATTTAAAACAAAATAAAACAAACTTCATCTCTAAAACCCGAGATGATAATATGTGGCCTTTATTACAAGATGCTAACTGTAGCAATTTGGGCTTTATTTTCCTAGACTTGGATCACAGGTCAAGCAAATGGTCATAGCATTTTAATGACTTTGCCCTGATATAAAGAGAGAGAGATAAACAGAATAAGCTGAACTTTTTGCATGAGGACCTGTAAATCTTTGACCTCCCTTGACACAGCATACTTAGATACACATCATATGCAGTGTCATGCCCCCTGTAGACACTTCATAAAAATTAATTGACTTGAAAAATAGTCTGAGGTGTATTCCATGAGACCTAGTAATCCAAATAGCTCAGAGAACTCTGCTACTACTTTCCTGTTAGCAGAGTATCTTGTTTAGGAATATGAACCCAATATCACACCAACAGCATCTGAGAATGGTATAGGGTTCAGACAGCATCTTAGCAAGAGCTTTAAATAAAGACTTAGAAGTTCTGAAGTTTAAACCCATAAGTGAATCTTCACTTACATATGCTGACAGTTTTGTCTCAAGTGTGGCAGTGCTATGGTCATTACGCAGCCTCCTTTGAAGTTCATTCTTGTATTTATCCCTGGATTCAATGTCACACTTCTTCCTTCCCATTCTTATTTTCTTTCCTTCACTCCTTAAACAAATGTGTACAGTACCCCTTACTCTATCAGAAGAATTACACTAATTGGTAATATTACAAAGATGAGATGTTCTTATCCTCAAGGATAAGTGGGCATATCAGTGGGCTTCCTACAAGTCAGTACAGAAGGAGAAACAGTGAGTTATATGGTTCTTACCTAACAGAAGAAAGCATACCAATTCTCCATTAAATAAAATTTAATAGGGTCTACATTACAAGATGAATTTCTCATGTAGCATCTTATCGAAGAGTTTTTATTTCTTAGTTTTCTATGTGTATTCATTTCCAGTGTCTAATGTACTACCAAGGATAGTGCTGAAAACCTTTTCACTAATTAATCTTTTTCTGATTCTGTTGAATATAGGGGAGAAATCTTGGAGCCTGAAGATCTACTTTGTGAAAAGGTGCTGGGAAACACCTTAAACTATCAAAATCACCTTCTCTTGGTTATTGGACAATAGCTCTCACACACACAGCTCTTAGTAGATGGGAAGAAATGAGACACTGAGTTCACCCCTCCTATGCATGACCATCAATCCTTCACCTTTTCTCAAAACAACTACAGCTGGGTGGTGACTAGACACAAAATGCTGCCCTTGTGAACTGAGAGAAGTAAACAGAACACAGAGGACTGACAAGCAGAAAATGCTGTATGAGTCTGTCTGAATCTCCAATAACATTTTGGATTTCTCAGGAGGGCCGCATGATGTAAGCACAAGGTGTTATTAAAGCCTGTCCTGCTGCTAAAGGCCATATGGAGAATTGGGTGCTTCTTACTTGCTCCTTAAACACCCCAATTATTTTCCCAGTAAGGACAGTGTAGAACCCTACTGCCTGAAAAAGTTACAAATGAGCCAACTATGTCTTCCTGTAGTTATGCCCCCATGGTTTTACAATGCTTTCTTCTGTTCTTGGATTGAAGGCGGAGGAAGGTCTGCCCACAGAATGACCAGCTCACTTTTGAAGGTCTTTGTGGTGCCGGAGGCATCACAAAAGGCCCCAGGTAAAAAAAAATGACGTTCCTCACAGTGATTATCACAGTCATTTAGACTTTACCTGAACTACCCGGTTCCATTATTAAATTCTAAATAATGGAAGACAGGATATCTCACCTCTTTTGCTGCACCTAAAACCACCCAGGCCTAATTCTGCTTTCTTATCTATGGCCTAGAAAGGCATACCTGTAATCGGCATTTCCTCTTTCTAAATGTATCAGTCTATTTATTATAATTATTATTACTGTTGAATCTGATTTATACCTAAAGTTCCCTTGAGGCCAATAGGCTACATTCGATGCTTACAAATAAGTTATTGTAAAATGGATGTAATTATAGTAAAAGTAACCATCACATTGAATGGCTGTTTGTATACTAGACAACAAAATGTATTCATGGTGTTACCATGGAGAGAATGGAGAGATTTTGGACTCATTTTAAAGAAGGCACCTTTATTCTAAGTGTGCCTTTAAATGAATAACTTGAAACAAATGACTTGGCTTTTTACAAAATTAGAACAAGCTGAATATACATCTCTTTAAAGCTGGGCTATTACAGGGACATAACAGTAAATGCTAATGTACATACTGATGGTTGGCACATGCAAATGAGCATGCTGATCGCTAGTTCACATCACGATTCATTATGGCACACAACTGCCGGAAATCAAAGTTAAGCAACAAGCAGCTACCAACTGCCTAGTCTTCCCTCCTTATGGAGCCATTTTGCCCCGCAATCCCCTTTACGATTAGCAAAAAGCTTGGAAATAGAGGCTAAAATAAATAAGAGGACTATGAATTACTGGCTAATTTTAAAATGGCACAGAACCTTGGAGAGGGGAGGAAGCACCAGCTGAGATGAGTACATATTTCCCTAGAGCATTTCACATGATGCATTGGTGAATGACTGTCTCTGAGGAAGCACTCTGATCTTGGAAGCTGAGCGACACAAATACTTGGCGTCAAAGAAGTTGGCATGGCAACCCTGCGTTTGCAATGATGAGTCCCAGAGTAAACAGGTGCATAAAGCAACTACTTGAATGAGTTTGCTTCTCTACAAAGTGGTTAAATCTCATAAAGGACTTTTTGTCTTCTCTTTTTGAAAAGTATAAACAGTCAGTTTAATAATGTAAGGCAGTTCATTTGCTGAAGGGGGAAGATATTCATGACTCAGAAAGATTTATTCTCTGTACTTTCCCTGTGTAAATAAGGTGAGATTTAGGCAGAAATAAGTCATTTCCCCCTCAGAGCAGATACAATTCTCCATTGACTGGAAAACAGTACCTCCCCCATCCCCAAATCCTTTCTGTGTATGTTTAAAAAAGCATATTCCCAACAAAGGAATTGCTTACCTGTTGGCAACAGGCCCCTTGAAATCTGGGTCATATGTCCTTGGATCACCTGCATTTAAAACAAAGATCTTTTAAGCATATAAGCCAGCAAAAAAATAAATACAAAATATTAATAACAAATATCTATATATTGGTTAGTTCACTGCTCAGTGGTGAATTCAAACTTTGGTTCGATGAAACATTATGTATGTCTTGGTTACAGCTGTCAATCCTTTCTCCTCTTCCCAGCTTAGAAGGGGGACTGGGAAGAGTGGTTAAGGAACATACTGCATACACAGGTGAATGTATCCTCCCACCGTACTGAGCATCAACATTAACAATTGTATCCAGGGTAGTAAAATTTGAAGTCCTTCTGAGCTGCAAAACCATTTACCATCAGCCATCACCATGTTTGCTGAGGACTTGTGTGGTGTACAGTTTAATATGAGAGACCTGCTTATCCTGTTTCACTCATTCCTCTCAGTAGACTAGGCTTCCCTTCGAGAAGTTCAAATACTAGTTACTGTTGGTCTCTATCATGTTGATTGTATGATATATAAAAATTAATGTTCTATTACAGAAACATTTTTATTGCATTTTTTTCAACATACTGGCAGACTTTATGCCATCTGGTAAGGTGCCCTTGCCACTCTGTTGCATTAAGATTGTGATCTATTACCGTTTTCTATAAACAGTAAAAGTACATATGGAATGGCTTTTTTTCTCCCTACAAGTACTGTGTAGGCAGACCCAGTAACAAGTTACTTAAAGTCATTCCAGGCCAAGGGTCTGCATTTTGCAATCCCCAACCTCTTGACTCTTCCCCTACAACCTAAGCGCTCCCATTTGTTCCTCTAGGGATTCGTCCCTATAAAAATGTCTGGTCCTGAATTAGAGACAAAATTTTCCTGTTTGAGACAGTCTGTATGTACTCCAGTGCCAAGTTGACTAGAACACTGTTAGCTTCCCTTTTTTGGACAGCTTGTCTGCCTCTGCCTCACTGCAACAGATAATATGAGAAGTGTTTAAGTCCTCTTTATCTGAGAACTGACCGTTCCCCTGTCCCCCAGTCCACAGGAGTGGGTTTCTAGTAGTCACATTTCTTCTTTGTGCCTGTTTTCTGGCCATGGCCAACTGCATCTGGTTTAGACATTGGATCCAAGCTGGGCAAGTCAGATTCTCAATCCCAGACATTTAGAATTAGAACGGACAATGAGTTATTCTCAGTTGAAGATTGGAACTGCAAAATATCAACTTTGAAACAAGAGAAGCAGAGAAATCTGGCTTTCAGAAAGAAGTTATTGAAGTACGTGTTCAAAGAGAAGCAGAGGTGATAGTCCTACTGGCTAGTGGCCTAGTTCCCACCTGAAGCTCAGGGTTGAGTTTCATGAAATACTTCATAGTCTTAAACTGTTTTCCCTTTTCTCACTTTCAACTAGTTCAAGTCAATTATATGTAACAAAAGAGCCAAAGAGTCTTCTTAATAATTCACTCTCTCGGCTTACATTTCAACAATTTATTTTAACATTTTCTGGATCTTTGCCATGAACAGGTAGTATCAGGATATGAAGAAGAATTTTTTAGACTAAGTTTGCCTTTCTGAATCTCAGACTTAAATAAGACATAAGCTCAACAGGGCTGGGCATGGCGGCTCACACGTATGATCCTAGCACTTTGAAAAGTCAAGGCTGGTGGACTGCTTGAGGCCAGGAGTTCCAGACCAGCCTGAGCAACATGTCAAAACCTCAAATTAGCTGGACGTGATGTCTCACACTGGTAGTCCCAGCTACTCCAGAGGCTGAGGCATGAGAATCCCTTGAACCCAGAGGGTGGGGGTTCCAGTGAGCTGAGAGTGACACTGTATTCCAGCTTAGTTGACAGAGCAAGATGGAAGGGAAAGGGAGGGGAAGGGAGGGGAGGGGAGGAGAGATGTGGGAAGGGGGAGGGGGAGGGGGAGGGGAGAGTGAAGGGGAGGGGAAGGGAAGGTGAAGTGGGGAAGAGGGAGGGAAAGGGAGGGAAAGAGAGGGAAAGGGAGGGGAAGGGGGAAGGTGGGGGAGGGGAGAGGGAAGGAGAAAAGGGAAGGGAGAAAAAAAGAGAAAAAAGGAGAAAAGGAGAAAGAAAAAGAAAAAAGAAAGAAAAGAAAGGAAGGAGGGAGGGAGAAAGAAGAAAGAAGAAAGAGCAAAGGAATGAGAAAGAAAGGGAAAGGAAGAAAGGAGGGAGGAAGGAAGGAAGGAAAGGAGGGAGGGAGGGAAGGAGGGAGGGAAGGAGGGAGGGAGGGAGGGAAACAAGCTGGAAACATCATTGCAACTCTGTGTGGTAAGAACTGTGATAGAGAGTGCTGTGGGTCACAGAGGGGATCATGAATAAAAAGGCTTCACAAGCTCCTAACACTCAAGTTTGGCTCAACTTTCTGTTCACACTCTGACCCTGTGCTCTTTGACTTGAAGCTTTCACTCCGATTTTGAACTTTAATATTTGCATCACTCCTGGTTCTAGATTTTAGTTCCCAAATCTGTCTGAATAGCTGAAATAGCTGAAAAACTTCTAGAGGTACAGGTTTCCAACAATCCCCCACCTCAAATACTCCAATTCTATAGATCTGAGGAATGAACCTAAGAATCTATATTATTATTATTATTTTTGAGATGGAGTCTTGCTTTATCGTCCAGGCTGGAGTGCAGTGGCATGATCTCAGTTCACTGCAATCTCTTCCTTCCAGGTTCAAGTGATTCTCCTGCCTCAGCCTCTGGAGTAGCTGGGATTACAGGGGTGTGCCACCCCTGTGGGCTAATTTTTTGTGTTTTAGTAGAGACAGGATTTCACCATTTTGGCCAGGCTGATCTTGAATTCCGGACTTCATGCAATCCGCCCACTTCGGCCTCCCATAGTGCTGGGATTACAGGCATGAGCCCCGCACCCAGCAGAGAATTTGTATTTTTAAATGACCCACTGAATGACTCTGATGTCCAGGCAGATTTGGGAACCATTAAGCTACTTGATTTTAATCTCAATTTTATAACTACATCTCAGTTTATATACTGTCCTTATGTCTAGCTCTACCTACAGAACAACCTAATGGAGAAAATGAGGAGAAAAGCAGGTCATCGTGATGTGTATGAGTTTTGGAAAACACTACCATTAGATATGAGAAGCCAGTTAAAGGAAGAGATGCAGACATTCAAGAAAGTCAAACAATTTCAAGAAAAAGGAAAGATCATAAGTTCTAAAAAATGTATGCTTATTTGTACCAGGGACTACTTTAAATGATTTACACATAGGTCTGCCATCTTGCACAATTCCACATAGTACACAATGTGAATTGTATTTTCTGAGCAGTGCAATGCAATAGCCCTAGTATATTACGTCATTTAATGTTTCTAAAAGTTCATGCCATTCAATGTAATAAAATATGCCATTATTATCATCCCATTTTATAAATGAGGATGCTGAGGTACAGAAGGGTGTGAAAATTTTCCCTGGCCCACTCGGCTAACAAGAGGCGGAACTGGCATTGGAAGGCAGACCGTCCAACTCCAAAGCCAGTGTTGAACCATTTAGTAGTAAGTTGCTCAATGCTCATCTTAAGTACTTCCACAGATGAGTAAGGAGAAGACAGATTTAAAGGGGTTAACAATGTTTATTGATTTTGTGATTATTTGCTATTTACATTAAAGGTGGGCAAACCCAGCTTAAAAGTGTTTAGGCTGGTTTCCAATTTTGCTGTGATTTGTACCTCACCAAGTGATAAAGTGGATTGCAGTGTAAATGAAATGCCATTGTCGAATCTGCCTGAAAAGCTGACACTTTCTGATTGTGAATCCCGGCTGCTTTATGTTTCAGTTGAAAATACACCCAAACCACAGTCAGATGATAAGACTGAGCTGATTCTGTATAGTAATGAGAGCTGGAAAGTGATTACTTCACCCTGCCCCATGTGCTGGCAGAATTTGTATTGTCATGCAAATTTTTTATATCCTGCAAATCAATAGAGGGCAGTGCTTTTACGGGGGCCCTCACTCACTCTAATTGCATCTCTGGAATAAATAGACTGAGAGGCCAGCTAAATGAAAAGAGCTACAGTGGTTTGCTGTCATGTGGCTTAGTTTTTTGAATGCAATTCATATTTCTTACTTAAAGAAAAAACCCTAAAATTACATAATATTTTATAAGCTTCTTAAGTTCATTTGACTTTCTGATCACCAAATGTATTGTCTTTCAATGGTAAATTTAGAATCACTGAAAAACATTTATAAAAGATAGCTACACATTTGTTGTTGTAGTTAACAGTTGGTATTGCAGCCATACAATGCAATTTTCGAACCAGAAATAATTCATGAAGATTAAGGAAAATAGTTCAGGTAATTAATTCAATTCATAGGTACGGATTTCACATGGCTCAATTGAAAGCAAATGCCAAGATAAAGCAGCCAGTCACGCTTAGAAAGACTCTTTCCTTTAAAAGCAGTCTCTTTCTCAAAGAAAATGACAATATAATTACCATTGATAAGCTATAAAAAGTAAAAATCCAAAACATTTCATTTTGTTCCTGTAGGAATATTCTCCTCTGAGAACCTAATATTAATTCAGAGAGCAAAAAAGGAACTAAGGAGGGATGAATACATGTTCTAGGATTTAAAAAAGACCTACTATGAGCAAGCAAGTCAGATAACTTCAAACAAGGAAAAAATGGAGCAGTACAAAATTAAGGCTTTAATATACAATAACAGCCAGCAGAGAATTGTGAATAATGAAGTATGTGTTTTATTTATTTTAAAAATATGCTTTATAGTATGTCTATAAAAGAGGGCCTGCCATCTCATTCAAAGAAAGGGTTCTGTTTTCCTCTAAGTCTCAGCAAAGAATAAGGAATCATGTTCTTGGCCATTTCTTACACAATAATGTTCCCACTTCCTAGCCCAACACACATGGCTTTTTATGATATGGTTTATCTTACAAGCCTTATTTCTTATAATGCCCCTCTTTGAACTTAATCTTATGCAATTCTGTACTATTTATGGATCCTCCCTTTTCATATTCTGTTCCCTCTGACTAATGTGACTTTCTCTTCCT